AAAAAAAAACCCAAACAGTCTTGGTAGCAGCTGTCAAGAAATCAAATGTGTTGCCCTGGGGAAATTGGCTGTCAAAGACCTATCCAAAGTTCTAAAGAGCAGGATGTTAGTTTAAAGGCTAAGGTGAACCTTGAATTTTCGTTTGCTTCCATGCATCTGAAAGTTGGGGGATGAGTAAGGAAGACTGAAGAAGAATCAGTGCATTTGAACTGTGTTGGTGAATAGTGTTGAATATACCATAGACTACCTGCTGCTTGGAGGCAAGGATTCTGAAGCTTCATCTGACATACTTCAGACATGTGGCAAGGAGGGACCAGTCCTTGGAGAGGGACATCATGCTTGGGAGGGTGGAGGGACAGTTCAGGAGAGGAAGACCCTTGATGCGATGGAATGACTGACTCAGTGACTGGGATAATGGGGGTAGGTGTGTCAGAGGCAGTAAAATTGGGACAGGATAGAGCAGGGTTTAGGGCTATTGTACATAGAGTCACTATGAGTCACAAGCAACTCAACAGCACATAACATCTCACACACACACATACACACAATTTGTCTTGAAAGAAGTGCTGCCAGAGTGTGCCTTAGAGGCAAGGATGATGAAACTTTTACACTTACTTTGGGTGTAGGTAGTGTCAGGAGGAATCAATCCTTACACATAGCATGCGAGGGAAGGTGGAGGGTTGGTGAGAGAGGAAGGCCCTAAACAGGATGGATTGAGCAGCGACTACCACTGTGGGCTTGGGCAGGAGAGAGATCATGAGGAGGCACAGGATAGGGCAAGATTTAGATCTTTTGGGGTTGCTGTGAATGATAGCCAAACTGACAGCACCTAACAGGCTGAGTAAACAAATGTGTCTTGGAGAGGGTGCCACCAGGGTGCTCCTTAGACACAAGGAGAGTGAAATTTTGTCTCACATACTTTGGCCATGTCTTTAAGGAGGTGAAGTCCTTTGAAAAGGACATCATGTTTGGAAAGGTTGAGGGTCAGTGAAGGAAGGGAAGACCCTCAATGAGATGGACTGACATGGATGGACTGTAACATTGGATTCAGATATAGCAGACATGGCGAGGGTGGCACAGGATAGGGCGTTGTTTGTAGGGTCACTGAGTCATAGTCGATGTCACGTAACAGCAATAACAACTTCCTAAGCCTCTCCTCTAAGCCTCTCAATTACCTCCTCACCCACAAAATGGGCCCCCTGATGAGCACCTCTCCCAAGAGAGCCCACTCCTGTGGCTATAACTTCCAGGCTGAGAAGTGGACCCCTGGCACCACTTGTGGTCATTAAATTCTTCCTGGATGACTTTAGAGCTGATAGACATGCTCGGTTGTCCCTAGAATTCATTCACATTCTCCCTGAGACTGGGCCTGTACTGTACCCTGTGACCACAGGCAATGCTGCACCACGCGTGGGGGTGAGGCTGGAAATGGGGGTGGGGGTTGGAGCAGGGAATGGTAGAGAAGGTGAGGGAGGAAGAGAGACAGGCGAGCAAGCAAATTGCAATCCCCCTAGGGATTTCCCCCCTCCTTGACCTTCCAAGGCCAATGAGATCCCCTTTCCTGTTTTCCTGTCCTTGGGATCTGTAAGACAATCCTGCATGCATATAACAAGTCTCGATTTTGGTTCAAGTCAGCTCAAGCTGGTCTCTTTTCCCTTGCAACCAAAGAGAGGAGCAAGCTCTCGATGGTTTAAAGCACAGGTTCTGCAGACAGATCACTAAAGCCTGAACTCCACCACTTAATAGCTGTATGTTCATTTGTGTGCAAGTCACTCATGATAATATTGATCCCACAACCTAGGTGTGAGGTTTCGTTCAGTTAACACAAGTGAAGAACGTGTATGAAAATAAAAATAAAAGTAAAAATAAAAAAAGAACTGTATGGTGTGTGCTAAGTGCTTCAAAATAGGTCGTGTAATTCTTTACTTCCCCAATATGGTTGAAAGTGGTAAGAATTATACTCTAAGCAGACCAGAGCACAGGGCCACACTGGATTTTGATGGTTTGGGGGGTGATTTTGGTTTTGTGGCTTTTTTTAAAATAAAACATTCTATTCAGGAAATTCTGAAAGGTATCCTAGAAGTGGCTGACTGTGTCTGGGACAGACTTTGTAGACACAAATTAGCCCAAGGCTAGTGGAAGGACTGGGCTGCATTGACCTGGCTGCTTGATATAGAGCCAGAGAAAATTCTTCTCCAGAGGAAGGTCAAGGTTGTCATTCCTTCCTGTCTTCTGATAGATGGGGAGGTTTTTGAAATGAGAGTTTCCAAGGTCAAAAATAACTGGTATCATTTCAGGACTACGTCATTTCCCCTCCATAGGCAGGATCCTCAGAAGCACCTGATAGGAGGGACCAAAGAGGCCCCAAAACAGTCCAAGGAGCAGTGCAGGTTGGCAGAGGCTGAAAAGCTTTAAGTGGCTGCCTCTGTGTGGGTCACTGGCCATGCTGCTCCTCGCACTACTGCTACTGCTGCCCCTGCTGGCTGCTGCTCGCCTGCTATGGGGCCAGTGGATGCTCAGGACCCTCCACCTCCCACCTCTCGCCCCTGGCTTCCTTCATCTGCTGCAGCCTAACCTCCCCATCCACCTGCTTGGCCTGACTCAGAAGCTTGGGCCTGTCTACCGGGTCCGCCTGGGGCTGCAGGGTGAGTGGCTCCTCCCTCCCACACAAACGGGCCATCTGGGTCCTCTCCCTGCTGACACTCAGCTCTGGTTCTTCCCCAGAGGTGGTGGTACTGAACTCCAAGAAGACCATTGAGGAGGCCATGGTCAAGAAGTGGGTGGACTTTGCTGGCAGACCCCAGACACCATCTTGTAAGGGATAGGGGCATTTCTTGAGAAGAAATGGGGGCTGGAGGAGGCAGAGTGTGAAGCTCAGGGGAACGGCTGGGGCCTTGGCTTTCTTGGTTCAGTAACTGCCCTTTTCATTGTCACCCCACAGTCAAGATGGTGTCTCAGAATAATCAGGACCTGTCAGTAGGGGACTACTCTCCACTCTGGAAGGCTCACAAGAAGCTCATCCGGTCAGCCCTCCTGCTGAGCATGAGAAACTCCATGGAGCCCCTCGTGCAGGAGTTGACACTGGAGTTCTGTGAGGTGAGTCTGACCCCCTGCATCCGCCCCAGAGGTGAAGTCAGCCTCACTTCTCCCAGAAGCCCTCTGGCCTGTCTAGGACATGTCCTTTCTTCACAGCGCATGCAAGCTCAGGCTGGTGCCCCCCTGGCCATCCATAAGGAATTCTCACTCCTCACTTGCACCATCATCTGCTACCTCACCTTTGGAAACAAGGTTCAGGCTCCATTGTCCTCACACACCTCCATCCCACCTTCAACCCCTCCCTGACCCATTCCTGGTCCTGAACAGAAAGGGTTCCCTCCTTTTCTGGTAGGAGGACTCCATGGTGCGCGCCTTTCATGACTGCATTCAGGACTTGTTAAGCACCTGGCACCACTGGTCCATCCTCATTTTGGACATTGTTCCTTTTCTCAGGGTGAGGAGGCAGAGCCGGGACATCCCAGGCCCTGGCATCACAATGATGGGGAAGGGATCAGGCTTCCTTAGCAGCTGCTACATGAGCTTACGTTTTGCCCTAGTTCTTCCCTAACCCAGTTCTGTGGAAGCTGAAGAGGATTATAAAGAGGAGGGACCACATGGTGAAGGAACAGCTGAGGCAGCACAAGGTGGGAACTGTGCTCCCACCATGCTTTGCAGGTTCTCCAGGATCTGCCCTCCTCAGACTTAGACTTGTTGTTACTCCTAGCCTTTTGCACTCCAGCCTGGACCCTAACCCCACCCTTCCTTTCCCCAGGATAGCCTCGTGGTAGGTCAGTGGAGGGACATGACAGACTACATGTTGCAAGAGATGAAGAAGCAGAGAGTGGAAGGAGGAGCTGGGCAGCTTCTTGAAGGGCACGTGCACATGGCTATGGTGGACCTGTTCATCGGTGGCACGGATACCATAGCAAGCACCCTCTCCTGGGCAGTGGCGTTCTTGCTTCATCACCCTGAGGTGTGCCCAGGCGTGGGCATAAAGGCTCATGGCAGTCTGGCTGGGTAGAGCAGCCTGCTTGGCTCCGAGCAATGCGTCCACCATTGGCTGATGGAGCACAAAGGGGGCACCCTCTCCCGAGCCGCATGTGGATCATGCTAGGGGTGTAGCCAGGGGCGGGTAGTTCCAACAATGATGTGAGCAAGCTTCTCTCACTTTCCAGATTCAGTGGCGACTGCAGGAGGAACTGGACCGAGAGCTGGGCCCCAGGGTCCCCAATTCTTGGGTCCAGTACAAGGATCGCACGCGGCTGCCCTTGCTCAACGCCACCATCGCCGAGGTGCTGCGCCTGCGGTCCTCTGTGCCCCTGGCCTTGCCCCACCGCACTACGCGGCCCAGCAGGTGGCTTCCGAGGGCTGGGGACCCCTGGGGATAGGTGGGTCCCTGAACGGGGGTCCTGGTCGGCCTCTGACTCCGTCCCTCCCCCAGCATCCTGGGCTACGATATCCCCGAGGGCATGACCATCATCCCCAACCTCCTGGGCGCCCACCTGGACGATGCCATCTGGGAGCAGCCGCACGAGTTCCGCCCCGGTAGGTGCGGGCAGCGACGGTGATGGTAGGGTTAGGGGGGGTCGGGGCCACCCTGACCCCAGTCCGTCGCCTGTCCCCAGAGCGCTTCCTGGAGCCGGGCGCGCCCTCCAGAGCGCTGGCCTTCGGCTGCGGGGCGCGCGTGTGCGTGGGGGAGCCGCTAGCGCGCCTCGAGATCTTCGTGGTGCTGGCGCAGCTGCTTCGAGCCTTCACGCTGCTGCCGGCGGCAGGCCACCCGCCCTCGCTGCAGCCGCTGGACAAGCAGAGCACCTCCCTGTGGATGCAGCCTTTCGAGGTGCTGCTGCAGCCCCGGACGCCGGTGCCCCGGGCCTGACAGAGCGCCAATGACCGACGCGCCTCAGTTTCTCTTTTTATTGCTCCCGTACAACCCCCTCCCCTCCCCCCTGTAAACATAGTGCTGTGAGATCGCGGGCGGAGAAGGCGCCCCCCGGTGGCGGGAGGGTGAAGGCGGCCCCTGGCTCTTCTCCCAGTGCGACCCCTCAGTGCTCGCAGTCGTGTTGGGGCCCAGAGAGGTGGGCGGCGGCTTAGCCTCCTCGGACTGGGGGCTGGTAGCTTCTTGGCCTCAGCTTCATTTCCGTGAAGGGCACTGAGAAGTCGAAGCCCTTCCAGTGATACCAGCTCATTCCCTGAGAACCGAGTTAGACATCAGTGGACCTTCTCCCCCGCCTGCCTCCCACATCACCCTCAACTGCAAAGGATTGAGGCTTAATCCCGAGGTGGTCCTTGGAATCTAATAAATAATCTTCTTATAATAACTTGTGAAGTTAGCATTATTATCCCAGTTCAAAGGTGGACGGTCTGAGGCATCTGGTTTACTAATTCTCAGTTAACTGCAATGCAGTCATATTGCTGGGTTTAAGCATGCATCCACGAGAAGTGAACCCCAACCACCCCAGTCCACATTGCCACCCCTCACCTGATGGGACCCCTCACCTGATGGGACCCCTCACCTGATGGGACCCCTCACCTGATGGGACCCCTCACCAGATGGGACCCCTCACCTGATGGGACCCCTCACCAGATGGGACCCCTCACCTGATGGGACCC